GGCACAGAGCTCTCCTTCTCGCCACCACCACCATCAGTTCGCGCCTGGCGCCTGGTCGATGCATGGCTGGCGGTATCCGGCATAACAGGCTGGTACATCAAGTAGCGCATGGCACAAAGATGATGACACGGCAACGACATAGCTCGATTGCGACGTACGTTTCGTCCCCGCTGAATCATCAGGCAATCTTCTTCTTGGATGTCTTCATACGGAGCTTGACTCGGGAGAATGAAGTTGAAGACACCACTGCAGCTGTACTTATAGTTGATAAATATGGTGGTAAAGACACACCTGGCAATATGGCGGTAAACACACGCCTGCCCACACACGCTCTCTAGGCAGCAAAGTTCTGGCACAGAGCTCTCCTTCTCACCACCACCACCACCACCATCAGTTCGCGCCTGGCGCCTGGTCGATGTATGGCTGGCGGTATCCGGCATAGCAGGCTGGTACATCAAGTAGCGCATGGCACATAGATGATGACACAGCAAAGACAGAGCTCGATTGCGACGTACGTTTCGTCCCCGCTGGACTCATCAGCCTGCTATGCCGGATACCGCCAGCCATGCATCGACCAGGCGCCAGGCGCGACCTGATGGTGGTGGTGAGAAGGAGAGCTCTGTGCCAGAACTTTGCAGCCTAGAGAGCGTGTGTGGGCAGGCGTGTATTTACCGCCATATTGCCAGGTGTGTCTTTACCACCATATTTATCAACCATAAGTACAGCTGCAGTGGTGTCTTCAACTTCATTCTCCCGAGGATATAATATCAATAAATAAAGCCATTGCCGAGCCACAGTGCTCACAGCAGAGACTTCTGTGTATGTTATTGTCGTGAAAGTGGACCACAAAGACGCATGTTTGCTTGATCCTGGCACAGATATGTACATGTAGAATATGTATGACTTTACCCCTTTACCAAAGGTGGGGATGGGGGGGGGGGGGGAGCGTGATATCAAGGAAGTTTCCTGGAAGGGTGGATGGGATGAATGGGAAGCGATAAGGGGTCTAGGGAAAAGGCTTAGCAGAAACACTGCTCAAAAATCACTAAGAAAACCCACAGGGGAAGAACAATATACATGATGATAGCAAGAAAATCGAAAGAAGAATTGCTATAGAGCAGCGTAAGTTGATTTGTTGTTAGAATGGGGACTATCAGCAGGATCAATACGGTAACATTTCGTGTGATCCCAAACTGGAAAACTGAACACCTACATATATAATATACACCCAACTACACTAGAGAGGGAGGTGTAACTAAAGCAAGTTGCAAGTCTGAGTTTCACATGACCACGATCGTGGGGCTACTGATGGATCCAAAACGGGCAGCCTAATAGGCAATTCAGACTACGGCCAAAATCACGTCTGAACTTGAATGTCCATGGTGATGAAGTCGTGTTTCAAATTTTTATGCACAATCGCTGATCAAATCCATCTGAGTCGTAGAAACGTGGTCACATTTGGCCGTAGTCTGAATCGCCTATTAAATTATTGAACTCCGCGCATTGTTGACACATGCCATTGAGTTCCGCTTTTCATTCCTGCGTGTCCCATCTAGGGAAACCTTCTTTCTCCTGACTCGCTCCCCTTTCGTCCTATTTTTCATGATTTTGGTGTATCTAGCTCACTATGAAACCCAGACCTCAGGTCGGCCAGGTGCACGAAGTCTTGCCACCCTTTTGTTAAAGTTCTGGTAGAATGGTGATAAAATCAATGACAGAAATTAAAGCCGTGTTTGTGTTGGAGTAAACGAGTGAGTGTGTGCATGGATATATGAGTGTGTGTGTATGCACGCGCGCGCGCGCGTGTTTGTGTGCGTGTTGTGATATCGAAGAGGGTTTCACAACTCCACAGCTGTGCGAAATAATATAATATAATTATTATAACAAAACTCTCGTTTGCTTCCATTTTCTCAATGGTTGTGTGGAAAGCTCTGCTCTGTAGGTGTGGTAGATTTTCTTGTGACCAGACGAGGCCAGACGACGCTTGCAGACACCTGCACTGAAGATGGCATAAACAAATTCAATTCTCTTTGTGCATTGTGTAACACTGTGACTGATTACAGTCAGGCTACAACCTGTTAGCTCAATGTGTGCGCGCACTTCATTTATACAAATAACCTTCTTGTTGGTTGATAAATATGGTGGTAAAAACACACCTGGCAATATGGCGGTAAACACACGCCTGCCCACACACGCTCTCTAAGCTGCAAAGTTCTGGCACAGAGCTCTCCTTTTCACCACCACCACCATCTGTGCCAGAACTTTGCAGCTTAGAGAGCGTGTGTGGGCAGGCCTGTGTTTACCGCCATATTGCCAGGTGTGTCTTTACCACCATTTTATCAACCACAAGTACAGCTGCAGTGGTGTCTTCCAATTCAACCTTCATGTTCTAAGAACAATGAGTCAAATCAAACAAGAGTGTCTTTCTGTGCGTGCTGAACAGGTACACGGTGAGTATTCTTTGCGTAGAGGAGCAACCTACTTTAATGCCTACCTACCAACCTAGTTTAATGCCTACCTACCTACCTACATAACTAAACATCCCCCCATTCCTGATCCCTCTTGCACACTCAAGCCCACCCGAGCTGCCACCCCACCGCACACGAAATGTATCTGGTTCAACCCTATAACAATATTCTCTGAAAATATACATAGAAAGGTGCATCTCAATGAGCCGCATTGTTTTCCAAGGAATGTTATTGCCAAAGCAAGAAAAATGTAGACAACAACAACGCGGAACAAGAATAGGATCAAAACGCCACTTCATAACTGCACTTCTCATTCTCCTGAATGGCCATTTATGAAAGCGAAGACCGCACATAGGAATAGTTTATATTGTCACGAGAGTGGTCTAAACACACGCAGTTTGCAGACGTGTTCATTAACACTGTACACAGATTCTTGTGAAGACTGTGAAGGTCCTAATTTCCAACCACTACACGATGGAATGGTTGCACTGCTCAGAACGCCATGAACAGTGGATTTGCACGGAGCTAGGAAAATTCAAGAGTTGCAAAACTCGACACGTTACAAACATGTTGAAACACGAAATTACCTGATGGTATTCTGAAGTTCTCCACATTTCCTGCAGTGGCACTTCGTAACGACCTTTACTCTGATGGTTTTTAAGTCGGATGCATTGTGGTAGGCGCATCTTGTCTCCAATTCATTTACCTCCGTGACCTTCGTCTGACAGCATTTGCAGCTCCGCGACACTGGGAACCTGAAAGCGCCATTGTAGTTACCCGGGGACCGGACGATATCGTACTTTTCTTGAGGCATTTGACGTGTGCTGCACGCTCCGCTACATTGTCCAACATCGACGTAGACATCGGTACAATAGGGCAGACTGATTCGCTTGATACGTGGCACCTTTGTGCACTTCGAGCAGAATCTGCCACCTTTTCGAGCATAATCCGCCGGTCCCTACTACAGCCTCTCATTATGATGGTACTCCCTTCCATCTAGACTACATCTTTTGGCAATCCTCCAATCTAATTCAATAGACATGGTTAGCATTTTACCGATTACGCTAACTCTGACCGCCGGCGTGTGCCGTTTTTGTGTGTTTTCAAGACATGGTTAGCATTTCGGTTTCTGACACAACGATCGACTTGTGACGTACCCCTAGTTGGAATCTTACCGTTTCGTTCTCCCGCTAAACAGAGCTTTCTACCGTCGAAACAATACCAAACCGACGGTATTTTGGGTGTTGGGTGCGAGTACCTTTTGATTTAGCGTGAACGGTAAATGCTAACCATGTATATTAACATTAAGAGTCCTAACTGTGCGGTAACCATGCTTTCTTTACAATAGTAACAAACATGCGAGAGAAATGTTAATGTGAAATGCACATGTAAAAAGAAGAATTGTTCAGAACGGGTTTCGCGTTACGATCTTCAGTGAACATACGTAACTACGGATGAAATACTAAATCAAACACTATTACCGTATTATCTCCATTTTCAACCAATCCTGACCCTGGGCTTATATTGGAGACTGGGCTTCCACTGCCTACTGGAGACTGGACTTATAATCTTTCAACCATATGGTGCAAGTATTTTTCCTTACACTTTGAAGTACCAGTATCACATACCGGTTAACGTAAGGAACAGAAAGACGGGGTAGAGAGCAAAACAACTAGAATAGCACTAAAATGAGCAAGGATGTGAGAAGCACAACAGTGGCGAGCGAACATCACATTCTCACATCCTTGCTCATTTTAGTGCTATTCTAGTTGCTTTGATCCCTATTTCGTTTTTCGCACCTCTTTCTGTTCCTTATACTGTAATATTGTTTGATTTCGTATTCCATCTGTAGTTACGTACGTGCACTGAAGACCACAACGAGGAAACCGTTCGGAACACTTCTTCTTCTTCTTTTTACATGTACATTTTACATAGAGCTACTATTGCACAAAGCCACAACACTGCGCGCTGCCATACGCTGTATGCTTCCGCTACACCTAGCTGCTGTTTAGCTGCATGACGCCACAACACAACTTCACTACAACAGTCTTGTCCACAACTTCACCACAATAGTCTCGTCCATATTGCACTACGCTGAGAGCTGGCCTGCTCCCGCTCTGAAGAGGAAGAGCTTTTTTTAGCCTTCACCGTTTTTGCTCAAACCCAGGCGTTGGCCCACTGTGGCAGTCGCTTCCTTTTTCCTTTTCTTTTCTTTCTCCGTTAATTTCTCCGTCACTGCCTAAAAACAGTCCAGACGGTTTTTACCCCCAGTTTTTTGGTGCGAATTGCTTTCCACATTTCTCTCGCATGTTTGTTATTATTGTAAGAAAGCATAGGTACCGCACAGTTAGTATTCTTGATTGCCAGATTAAAGTTGCTGTCTCCGTAACGCTTGTTTAGTTATCAAAGCGCCGGACAACACAACACTATAATTATTATGCAATGCACAAATTCGCGGTCACGTGAAGATCGGTAAACGAGCCCTCTCAGCGCACCTTGACGTCGAAAATTGATATGAATATTCTCTTGATCATGAATTGAACATATAGGCTGAATTGTATTTGAGCATATTGGCAGCACAATAGGATCAGAAAATGAAAGCGAGAACCAAAGGAAAACAAAGAAACCACGGGAAACCCTTCCACTAGCAATAGGCAGAGTGCCTTATTGGAAGTGTGCAGGAGACCGCTTAAGCAGTAAGATGGTAAGAATCAATCTTATACTGTCGGTTAGGCACATGCATGTTGCCATGATGATGTTACACATATTGCTGCCGTGTCATGGCCAGATCATGGTGGAGGTGAACAGAATACCACGCGTGGTCTTGTTCACATTCAGCGCTATGATGTCATTCGTTTAGCAGACTGGACACTAAGGATAACGAACACCAGCTACCGCAGCATATAGAGTGAGATCTACACATTGAAAGGGACTGCAATCAGAAGATGCAGACAAAACCATACGAAAACCACACAAAAAACAGAAATTTGAAGCGAACACACCGAATATTCTCTAATTGTGCAGGCGAGGAGAGAAGGATTCGCTTGCAGTTTTCAATAAAGAACTTTCCACATATTTGAACAGCGACATGTGAACATGTGTATGTACTTCGAAGTAGCAGTAGAACTGCGCCGCTGAATCAGCTCAAAACAAACACTAGGTTTTGTGCGCCTGTTTGCCCACTGCTGAAGATGCAATTTCCTTCAGCAAACATAAGCGAAGCTGTGGACGCAGCATACTGCTGCTACACTTCAACGCGGGAATGCGTATAATAATAATAATAATAAACATTCCAAACCCTTCTTGTGATGCGAATCTCACTGTATCATCTCTTAGTGGTCCCGGGCCAACGTGAGAATATGTATGTGAACAAAACAAAGTCGACGTACCACATTTACTCTCTCTCTGCTTGAGGAGGCAGTCTGGCAAATACGGGCGCCCACAGTGTCATGAATTCAAGAAATAAAGAGAGAGAGAGAGAGAGAGAGAGAGATTGAGATTGAGATTGAGAGAGATAGAGAGATAGAGAGATAGAGATGGAGATGAGATAGAGAGATAGAGATAGAGATAGAGATGGAGATAGATAGATAGAGAGAGAGAGAGGTTGAGAGAGAGAGGAAAAAAAGATAGACAGATAGATAGAGAGATAGATAGAGAGATAGTGTCGATGTGCTTGCTCCTCTCTTCTAACTTCGGTTTACTAGAATTCGCTAGACACCAATAAGGAAGATTGATAAGTATAGTTCTAAGTTATGGGTATACTACTACACCCATACCTCGCTTATCCGGGTGGTCTGGGACCGGGGCACTGCCCCTAACACTTGAAATATCCCTAACTCCAAAATCGCATACATTTTGAAGGGGAAAGGCCATAATTATGGCAAGTAACGTCACTGTTTCGACATAAAGTGAAGTAGTAATTTTTCTTTTCTTTTCTGTCCGCAAAGTAATTTTTCCACTGAAAGTCGCCCAAAGGGTGACCGGAAGAACGAAGTGCCCGTAACTTTGGGGTGCACATATCTGAGTTACGAGTGTTATCCAAAACACATAGTGGGGAATTAACCCAGGGGATGCAAAGGACAATGGACGAAGAAAAAACAAAGAGCGTGAAATGCATTTCACCACTGCAGAAGAAACGTGCAGTAGCACAGCTGTCATCGCATTCCAGTAATACAAAGTGGACCAGTGGTGAGGTAGAAATATGAGCGGAAAGTTGAAAACGAATTATATCATTGTCATACTACATAAGTCGGATGAACAGACGACAAAGGGCATGCGTCCCAGATTTCATTTCATTATTATTATTATTATTATTGTGTGGGTACAGTGAGGGCTGCGTCCCACCCACCTGTGTGGATTCACGGGAAGTGTGAGTTACGAAGTCTGAGGAAAATGTTGAACAGCCTCTGCTGGGATGACGACTACACCATAGCTCAGTGGTTAGAGCATCGCTAGCTACAAGCGAGGGTCCCTGGTTCGAGTCCTGGTGGTGGCGGTCAATTTTTTCTTCAGACTTTTCCCGTTTGTCTCTTTCCCTCAAACTAGTGAATATTTTATGACTTGGGGCTCCCCGCGTGCTAGAGTGTGCGTGAAGTGTGTGGGTACAGTGAGGGCTGCGTCCCACCCGCCTGTGTGGATTCACGGGAAGTGTGAGTTACGAAGTCGGAGGAAAATGTTGAATAGCCTCTGCTGGGATGACGACTACAGCATAGCTCAGTGGTTAGAGCATCGCTAGCTACAAGCGAGTGTCCCTGGTTCGAGTCCTGGTGGTGGCGGTCAATTTTTTCTTCAGACTTTTCCCGTTTGTCTCTTTCCCTCAAACTAGTGAATATTTTATGACTTGGGGCTCCCGCGTGCTAGAGTGTGCGTGAAGTGTGTGGGTACAGTGAGGGCTGCGTCCCACCCGCCTGTGTGGATTCACAGGAAGTGTGAGTTACGAAGTCTGAGGAAAATGTTGAACAGCCTCTGCTGGGATGACGACTACACCATAGCTCAGTGGTTAGAGCATCGCTAGCTGCAAGCGAGGGTCCCTGGTTCGAGTCCTGGTGGTGGCGGTCAATTTTTTCTTCAGACTTTTCCCGTTTGTCTCTTTCCCTCAAACTAGTGAATATTATTATTATTATTATTATTATTAGGAAATTAGAGGCCACATGCCACGTACTGCTCTTTTCTCTCCGAAACTCAACACTTGCAAGCCAGATATGAAAGAAAGAAAAAATCATCAGTCACACCACCGGGACTCGAACCAGGGACCTTGCTATTGATTTTTTCTTTCTTTCATATCTGGCTTGCAAGTGTTGAGTTTCGGAGAGAAAAGAGCAGTACGTGGCATGTGGCCTCTAATTTCCTAACACTTTGTGAAATTCTCCGTGAAGTCCAAATTTGAAATTGCAATTATTATTATTATTTGAAACTCGGGTATTGAGCCAATAATATATATATATATATAGTATCTAGTTACAGTGGTGGAGAGTTACTCTTAACTCGTTTCCATATGTCCTTTTCCTTTCTACTATTATTATTATTATTATTATTATTATTATTAAGAAATGGTTTGCTCCCCACACCGGAGCTCGCGCTATTCCGCCGACTTTACTTGACACTTGACTGACTCACGACTGCCATCCAGAGCACACGAGAAGTCCATCGAACCTTCGACTCGGCAAACCTGCAAGAAAGCACCACTCCCTGCTCAATACACAGTGTTTCGGGGAATTCACCCCTCATCAGTTTAGCTTGAGTAGGCTGAGGAAGATTGTGCCTGAAGAGCACCACTTATATAGTGCTCTCCAGGCACAAACATCACCAGGGATACAAACTTACAGAGACGCTCCGTTTCAAGCCCGACAAACACCTCGTGAACACCAGATAGCAGCGTGAGTCAGTGTCGCTCCTGGACGGTGAGACAGACGTCGAGGACCCTCGGTCATTCGCAACGCTGTCACCTCCAAACCAACTAGTCGCAAGCCCGCGCTGGGCACAACAGTACGAAGTAGTGGTTGCGACTTCGGCGATGATTTGTAAGAAATGGTTTGCTCTGGATGGCAGTCGTGAGTCAGTCAAGTGTCAAGTAAAGTCGGCGGAATAGCGCGAGCTCCGGTGTGGGGAGGTGTGGGGAGCAAACCATTTCTTACAAATCATCGCCGAAGTCGCAACCACTACTTCGTATTATTATTATTATTATTATTATTATTTGAAACTCGGATGTTGAGCCATAAATAAATGTAGAAGAGAAAAGGACATATGGATACGAGTTAAGAGTAACTCTCCATCACTGTAACATGATACTATATAGTCAGAAAGTGCAATAACTAGGCACACAACTGACAGAGTACTGAAACATTCGACGTCCTGACACCTAGCTTCAACACATCTCCGTAGCGCTAACCGACAACTTGTTTTGTAGTCAACTAGTCCATCATAATGTCATGCATGAGGAGTACTGTAGGAGTTTGGCTTTCGGCTTGCACAATTCGTTTTCGCAAAGCTTCCCTTTCTTTACTTATCTTTGATATTTATGACCCACCCAAGTTGGGTGGTGTGCTGCTTTGCTGCTTCAAATTGTAGTTAGACCGCTTTGTCAAATATCGTAATGGTCGCGTCATCGTCCAGTAACAATCGACATTCTTTGTTCCGTTGGGACTGTAGCTTTTGCTCGTTTTCGTTGCGCTTGCCTTCCCCTCTTTGGTCTTTCCATAACCTTGAACCTTCCAAGTTGGAAGGCTGTCGGTTAGCGCTACGGAGATGTGTTGAAGCTAGGTGTCAGGACGTCGAATGTTTCAGTACTCTGTCAGTTTTGTGCCTAGTTATTGCAATTTCTGACTGTATATAGTATCATGTTACAGTGATGGAGAGTTACTCTTAACTCGTATCCATATGTCCTTTTCTCTTCTACATTATTATTATTATTATTATTATTATTCCATGATGATGATGACAAAGTGCCAATAAACATGTGATGCGGGCGATTTTTATCGTGCAATACTTAGCCTATAGCAGAACGGCTTGCCTACAAAAGTAGACACTCACTCAAAATGGCACCTACATGTATGCATAGAAGTGGCTGCTGTCGTTTGCGGGGCATTTTTTTGCCATATTTTGGCAGGTACATCCAGCTCTAGTGCATTCCTCAGTAAACTCCTAGTATCAGAGTGTGTATGTGTGTGGTTGAAGTAACGGCGGGAAGATTGTACATAGCTAAGAAGGAAAATGTACTTCGGCGAATGATATAATAATGCAATTCTCATGTTCCCTTCTGCTAAAAACCTGACCTCCTTCACAAGCCCTCTATTTCCCCAATGCATAGATGTTGTCCGTGACCATAAGCACATCGGTCTTTTTCTGGATTCGAGCCTCAGCTGGTAGCACCACATCGACTTTATCTGCCATCGCACGAGCCAGGCACTTGGTATGCTTATCGGCTATCGCCCATTGTTACTATTTACCTGTCTCATGCAAAATTCTTTTTTACTTCGAAGTATAATGCATAATATGTTCGGCCCATGTTTGACTATGCTGATATTGTGTGGAGTGGTCTGAATGCTACGTACGCTAACAACCTTGAAACTCGTCACAAAAAGCTACTGAAGATATTATTTAGACAGCCCCGGCATTTCCCTTCAGTACAATTCTACGGGGTTGCTCACGCCACACCTCTTTCCAAGAGGTGGCACCTCCACCTCTGCACCTTTGCACATATGTTTCGCCTCAAATCCAATCCTCCTCACCTTGACTCCTTTAAATGGTTTTCAAATGCTGCCCGGACCCGCAATACTATAACCTTACCGAGAGCAAACACCTCTATTTTGCTGCGTTCTCCACTTTTTATCGCAATTTCCGACTGGCTCCTTCTCCCCCAGAGTCTTAAACTTTCATCTTCCATGCTATCGTTCAAAGCACAATTGTTGGTGCTCACCTAATCTAACTCCTGCTCATGTGTCTGGTCTTCATTTTCTTCTTTTTTTCCCTGTCAACTGCTTACTAGTATTTGTTTTGATTTTTGTTCTTCGCCGTGGTTGGCTATCAACCTCTCCCCTTTGATTGGCTGTTGGTTTTTCAGCTATGGGATGAAGTAATACCCTCTTCAGTCCTTGCCACCACAGTTCATTACTCCACCACGTCACTTGGCCAACCCTCTCATCCCGCCGGAAGCTGAAGCAGCTACTCTTTGAACACCATCGCTGTCAAACGATCCCCGCCACACATCCAGCTTGCGACCTCAGGCTACATCACCGAACCACCAAGCCGAGAATTGAGGCGTCATCGAGTCTTTGCCCTCCCCACCACCCACTCCACCCGCCTTCAACGTTCACCCTTGTACTCCGCATGCACTCAGTATAACCACCTGCCACCACACTGTTACTCCCTCCGAGAAATAAATGCATTGGCAAATAAAAATTATTCCGATCATAGCATCATCAATTTGCACATGCTCAAACCCCCGCTGTAGCCCAGCCTATGTATAGTATTTTAATCAAGGTCTATCGCCTTCCTGCCTTCGCGATGAATATACTCCCTTCTTCATCTTTAATGAAACGAAGCACCCAAACCACGGCTGCCACTAGCCACTGTTTCTCCCATTTTATTGCACCCACTCTGATTGATAACACAATGTACTGTTTCTCTTGTATTGGCTACGGCCATCGCGAGAATAAAGACAACAACAATAATAATTTGAAGCTCGGATGTTGAGCCATAAATAAATGTAGAAAGGAAAAGGACATATGGATACGAGTTAAGAGTAACTCTCCATCACTGTACACAGTCAGAGAGTGCAATAACTAGGCACAAAACTGACAGAGTACTGAGACATTCGACGTCCTGACACCTAGCTCCAACACATCTCGTTTTCGTTGCGCTTGCCTTCCCCTCTTTGGTCTTTCCATAACCTTGAACCTTCCAAGTTGGAAGGCTGTCGGTTAGCGCTATGGAGATGTGTTGAAGCTAGGTGTCAGGACGTCGAATGTCTCCGTACTCTGTCAGTTTTGTGCCTAGTTATTGCACTTTCTGACTGTATATAGTATCATGTTACAGTGATGGAGAGTTACTCTTAACTCGTATCCACATGTCCTTTTCCTTTCAACAATAATAATAATAACAATTAAAAAAAATGTGTACTCACTTGATGACTTGCACATGATGAGAGCAGTGAAGCTGTTCTTCTCTTCATTTGTCTTCATGTTGAAAGCCAGGGGAGCAGTGGAGAATGGATCGAGCACCCAGATGAAACGATCAGCCCAGTTGTTGTAGTAGGTGAGAAAGAATTCCCGGATTGTTAGAACTTCGTCCATTGTCATCAGTCTTGTGCCCATGTCCTCACACGCCATACTAGCCCGATCAAATGTTGTCCGGTTATTGCTGTAATACCAGTGCCGTTCGCTAGATGTTAGAGATGCTACAATAAGCATACGGGAGAGCACAAGAGCGCAAACGCAACTAAAGAATGGCCAAAAATAAATGTACCTGCAGATTTGCAGTTCATGAAGCCACGTGCAGCCCATGTCCAGACAAATGCACGGGCGTGACTGGCAGACAAACGCACACAGGGGCGCAGCAGCATCCGGATGATTCCGTATACAAAAACAAGAGATCCGACGGAAAACAAGAATGCCAACACACCGAAGATTGAGTAGAAGATGTCCAGACCACGGCCCGGAAGGGATAATGTGAGTCGCCCTGTCTGTGAAGCATATGCGGCATCCCACCAGAACACCTACAATCTGATCAATGCTGCACCCCCACATTATACTGCTGATGTTTGTTGTTTTTCTTCCCTTTCTAGTCCTGATTTTCTGATAGAGATTGAGAGATCCACATTGGCCGGCCGAGCCTACAGCACCTACTTTTTTGTTTGTTTTGTTTTTTGTAATCCTTGCGGGTGGGAGTAGTTTTTGGCACTCCTACTTCCGCTTACACACTGTTTAGAAGGGAGCCTGACCGGCCGTCACATCAGGTTTTCTATACAGAGGAACTGTCCAAAAATGGAGTTAGCCCTGCTAAGCTGAAGCAGGTGGATTTACAAGAGAAGCCTGGCTGGTGCCTCCTAGCACAGTCCTATGGACCCGCACACGACCGGCGTTTATCCTCCGGCTTGTCAATAAGCGGTAAACATGTGCCTGCTACTGTGGGTGGCAGTGAAGTAATCACAGTATTGGTATTCGGATGCCCATTGCATTTACACGATGGAGAAGTTGCAAGTTCCTGGGGGGCATTTGGAGATATTCATGGCCCCATAGCAAGAACAATCGTGGAGCATGGTGATTTTTCCATGGAAACGGGAACCTGTTATGCAAGGTTGAGTCTGAAGAAGGGCATCCCTTCTATTGTGCATATAGGTGGCGATAGTACCACGGAACGGGTTTGGTACCCAGGTCAAATGCAAACATGTCCTTTTGATGAGAGCATTGCACACATGTGAAACTCACATGCACTAACTGCCCAGACTGATACGATAACACTCTGGGCCATCTTGCACTACTGTTGCAGTCCTTGCAGATTTGCTGTTCTGAAGCAGCTCTTCCTTCTCTTCATGTTGGGCTGTTGTTCAGGAAGGGACGCTTCGTGGCGGCTTCATTAGATTTTCTGCGAGGGCAGGGACTATTGACGTGATGTCTTAGTGCTTTTGGCGTAGCGAAAAGGTATATGGAGGGTGTGCTTTCCTGCCACAAGGTTGGATTCGGCTAGTGCATGGCCGTTGGAGAGTTCGATATTTGAATATTTACCAAGTGATTTTCAGTGGTTAATTATATTCAAGATCACTTGTTGGCGCTTGGGGACATGTTGTAGGAGACTCAGACTAAGGTGGTCTACGCCAAATTTTAGGACGTGACCTCACTGCTACTGGCCCTTGAAGATGGCCTTCGTAATGGTCGCCATTGGACAGAATGAATTGATCAACTCATTCGAGGCACTCAGCAAAGTCGCCAGTCGATAATTGGATGGCTAACCATTAACCTTAATCAGGGTCAGTGAAAATACTTCAGTAGTTGGTTTGGTTGCATGTGCTATGTTTTGTGAGCAGCATCGACCCCTCGTACTTGTACCTTGTTTCAGTGCGTGTTTTAGTCACTTTTCATTTTGCCCAATATCCAAAGAACGGAGGGTTTCCGGACCAAGGCATCATATTGGGCGAACAAGGTCCACCCGAGGATGAAAGGAGCCAATTTCGAGAGAAATCGTAAAACTGGCCATGTCCGGTGATATTTGGTCGTTACAGATAATTATTGGCTTCTAAATCAATCGGAGTTGCTCTCTGACGGCCTGCCCATATTACGCTATTGGATCTGTGAATAAACCCATTCTCAAACAGCCTGCCTATCAATTTTGCAACGATGCTTTGGCTATATTTCCAGTCACAAGACCAGGTGGTTATGATTAACTTGTAAAGATTAGGTGTCCACAGCTGTCAAGCATTCTTTAAGTTACTGCAGTCGGAACTCACCCAATCTCATACATCCCGGAAGATTGGTGTAGGAGTGTACTTGACCTTTTGCCGTTGCATGTGATCCAATAACTGCTGGATTGTTGTACCGGCCGCCAGCACAGGGAGGGCTGGTACAGCTTTCGAACGCCGGCCAACGGCAGTTGAATATACTCGCCTCCTTTATCACATGTTGAGATGCCTGTAGAGGCTTGAGAGGGGCTGCAAGATAGAAAGATGGAAAGCAAATCGTATGAGGACAAAGGCCAAGAATATCCGTTTTAGTTAACAAATAGCTGGTTTTCTAAATTCAGAAGTAGTGACAAACTCGGCCATTTGAAAATAATTTGAACTCTGCACCTCTCCACTGTGTGCTTTTGTCCCGCATTTACAACACCATACCTCATAGTGAGGAAGTTTGTTCTTGGATAGATGCTCCATGTCCTCCAGACAGATGTTTCGCTCAGTAAGAACAAGAACCAAAAAAACCAACTTCCTCTCTAAGGAGTATGGTGTTATGAATGTGGGCCAAGAGCGCAGTGTGGAAAGGTGGACAGTTCAAATTAGTTTTGGATTCCTAAAGTAGAGTGTACTCGGATTGCCAAACACCAGTTCTCAGAAAGACAGTTCACCGAAAGATTCAACTTCCAACGGCTTTTCACAATACGACATTTCACTGAAAAGCTTGCCCCACCCAACAGACAATTCATCGAATTTACTTTCGCACAGAGCTTGCCACAGCGATAGACATTTGGGCCTCAACCAGCCCTTAGGCTCAACATTTCCAAAATTCCTTTTTTGGTCAAAAATTCAACGAAACACATCTTCTTATAAACTCATATTCAGCATTCTAAAAGTGGGTGGGCAGCTTGAAGACCTTTGAAATAGTGCAGTAAGCAGTTAGAATAAGAAAGAATGGCTGAAGATTGCGGAGGGAGTGACCGACACCTTCGCAGCTGCATTCAGCGTACGCAATCTCATTTTCCATTCCTCCTCCACAGCTGAAGACACGACGTCGCTGCCCCCACTAGCCACAGACTCAGATGTTATCTCAGATGACGACTCCTCATCTTCCGACTCATACGAGTCATGGGCCACCTTGAGCCGCTTCGTAGCAGGAGATGGCGACTGCAATTCCGCCTCGCTGTCGACATCGATGTCGGAACAAAAGAACGTCTTAGGCCCCGGTCACACCGAAACAAGCCACTTTGGGCTTGTTATCGCTGGCGCTCAGCTGGCTTGCGTGATCCCTGTGACGCGGTCACACCAGACCTTGAGTGCAAAGCTTGAATGGCTTGTTTTTCTTACCCGCCAAATTTTGAATATCTCGAAACACACCAATGTTTGCAAGAAACTGGAGAGCAGAACGTTCGCGATCTAAAACTGTACTTGTTCTAGTGTTCAGTTTTGATGAAGAAGCAAAGGAAGCCCGGATTCTGAATTGCGGAGTCGTGCTCTTTTTATTTGTTCGGTGTGCATGGACGCGATGGTTCGGGTGGTGTTTCCTGATGTCGAGCTTTCTGCCCCGCCGGTTGCCATTATTGAACTCAGTTGCAATCCACTCTCTTCTTCGTACCCGGCTTTCTTCATGAATTCGGTCGTGAGTGTGGTGCCTTGTCTTGGCCTCAAACCACAGCTCCAACAATCTACGCAGCAGTCTAGAGGCACAGCGGCAGAAATCCATGGTCGTCGGACAAAATCCAAATCAAACTGAATACAGTGTAGTTGGGGTAGACAGACTCACGGTCAAAACCAAAGGCACAGGGATAGCACGGTTCCACAGACACAAGAAAGAACATCAATATCAGTTCATCATGTCAACTACAGTCCATTTCAAACTATAGACGCGTACCTAGGCAAAAACCGTTATGCCAGCATCTATACCACATAAAATCTGTGATCACTTTGTGCATAATTTTTTCCAAATTGGGCGTCTGTTATCCAATCCTTTAGAAACTATATGAGAGTAATTGTGGAGCGATCCTGAGCAATATTCCGAAAACTATTCACAAAAAGTTCCAGCCAAATTTTAAATATTTCAAAAACCCTACGCGTCTATAGTTTTGAAATGCACTGTAGCTACATGGTGTGCTCCGGAGCTCCAAGCGCACTCAAATTATTTTTTGAATTTCGGCTTTCAGCCGCTTGTACAAGCTGTGGCTGAAACAAGCCGGAAAAAAACGGCTGAGAGTCAGCCACGGCTGAAAGTCGCTTGTAGGACATTTTTCAGCCATTTCCATGGTAATAGTGACGTAAACAAGCGCTTGTTTCGGCTGAACGGCTGAATCGAGCTCGGTGTGACCGCGGCCTTATCCTCACTCTGATCCCCTGCGATGAAGTCCCCACTTCCACTAACTGCAAAGAATTTACAGTACTTCAAGCAAGAATCTCAACAAGTGAAGAACTCGTCCCGCTGTTCGCAGTGCGATTAAAAAAATCGTTGAACGTCACAAATCGAACTTTCTCAAAAAAAAACGAAACCTCTTAGGGTTGTTTACGCTGATTGCGGCTCATTTCACAGCTGCCTCTTTGGTCTAAGACCATGATTGAGATCTTACAGGTACCCAGAACTTCCAGCCCTGCTGCTGCTACCCACACTCCACTGGGAACTTGTGGTCAGCCCTAACAGGTACTTGGATATGGCAACATGGGTTTTTGCAGGATTTGTGCCAATTGTTGGTGCGACTTGTCCCCTGACCCTCACAGTTAGGCGCAACATCTGCACAGGGGTTTACCGGGTTTTAACGGCGTCATGAGTTCTATTCGGGAACGGATACGATAACTTACTTTTTTTTTAAACTTTCTCTTCAACTGGAATGCTTATCTGCAAATGGCTATGCCGGACTGTGAACTCGATCAGCCAACTCATCAATGTAATTGCCCTCTCCCTCCCCGCAATCGAGCATGTCACCAACTCGCCAAGACACGCCGGCAAGAGCCTACCTGTTGGATTGCAACCGGCGTAGTTTTGACGATATCCGCCTTCACACACGGGCCTCAACTTGTAGTGATCATCCAGTCTTGGACAACGGAGCCCGTGTTCGTATGTGCAGTTCCATATTTGGTTGAAGGGGCACCATACCGTACCATCTTTCGGGTTGTGATACTGTGGAGAAATCATGCTGCGCGGCTCACACCCTAAGAAAAGAGGAGGAAAGAGGAGGAAAGGGTCTCCCGTTACCAGGTTACAGGGGGTGTGTACATCACAGTATCTTTCCGGAAAAAAAGAACAAGAAAAGAAAAGAAAAGAACATGGATGCAGTGAATGGGATTTTCGGTCTTTGACCACATGCTGGTGAGCTGATCTACTCACCCCCCACCGCTTTAGGAGCTGCATCTGCGCCTTGATCCTTGAAGGGTGGTGGCGTTCCTACGGATGCGGAAAACTCGGCCTCTATATAGAGAAACCGAGTCTGACGCGAGCCGTGAATTTTTTCTCCGGAAAAGAAGCTACACCTTAAACACCAGTAATTCACCCAAAAGAGAGGTCAGTACGTCACACGCTACTATGGTCGAATTAACGATGGTAAATGCGGTAGACGTCTGTATTCCGCGGCAAAAAACCTGGGTGCGGCTTACACTCCACTGCGGCTTTTACTCCTAAAAATACAATACATGATGCATGTGTGGATGTTCGTGTCGTATCCCTCCATCATATGTGCGTTGCATGTTTTTCCCGTTCCAACACGATCAACTAATGAATGTTAGCAAGAATGCAAAACCCTAAGCCTGCGAAACTCTGATGTACGAATTATGGATGTCGTGAACGCATGCTGCCTTCATTACTGCTAGTGAAAATCAAGCTGCCTGAATTTGAGGTTTCCTACGCTTTAGCCTCGACTATTTCACGTGCAATATGAAACTTTCCACAGCACTTTCTGTGCGAGACACATCACGTACAAAACCGTCCAAAAAGTGTGCGAGGATCTGGAAAGTGGATTTGGAAGCAGAAAACCGCAGCCTTCAAGAATGATGCAATGGCCCATAGTTTGTGGCCGGGTATTGCAGGCAGCGTGCCGCTCTAGATCCAATATGCATAATTCCATGCTCTTGGTGTTACAGAGGCAGTGCGCCTTAACCTGCAATAGTGCTCAAATTCCCGGAACGTGCAGAGCATAGTATGCAACAGGTACACAGAGGGAAGTAATATAGGGTTGTTTCGTTGTTACTCAGAGTTTCATTGCAAAAACCAATCATCACACAACGATGTTGTCTGATGCTTGGGTTTTGCCCCGCCATATTTTACTTCCTTTTGTGTACCTCCGGCTCTTGGGGTTATGGACTTTTGATGTTACATGGTACACGGGCATTGCGCATATCAAGACATGGCCCGGAGGCCAATAGAGGTTAAAAACACGCTTTCACAGGTCTGCATGTTGAAAATTACCTGAAGACTACAAAGGAAAGCGGGTTAACGGGGATAGGGTCTGCAGACAATGGTGGTCACAAATCAGATAACATCCAGTGAGTAATCTGCTTTGTGGCAGTCCATTTGGCCGCAATGAGGCACACACATGCCACACCATAATTATACTCCGGCATACGCTGGCTGTTGGTAACCGACCCAGGAGAATGAAAGAAGAGCTTGAAGAATGAGACTTGAACCCGTAACCTCTCGATTGGTGAGACCGCACATACCACTGCACCATATGGAACACACTCGCGCACACACATATACACCCACATACACACAGACTTACTTTGATATCGAAACCAGTAACCATCTTCCCGAAGTTGTCGGACGTAATTAGTTTTAGGGAGAAGCACATAATCTAAATATAGACAAACACACAGAAACGCACTGCTGTTGCAGCTGTGATCCACGATTGCCAACGTAAAGAGCTGCCCACATGGTCTGGGAAATAACAATAATAAATTAATAATTCGAACTTAGAAGTTGCGATTTCGGCGGTAATAGTCATGAAGTTGAGTGTTCCAACTAGGAACACACGCTTCTTGTTGAACTTGACACTTGACGGACTCACGAATGCCATCCAGAGCGCACGAGGAGCACGTTGCACCTTCCTCTCGGCAAACCTGCAAGAAAGCACCACTCCCTGTTCAATACACAGTGTTTCGGGGAGTTCACCCCTCATCAGTTGAGCTTGAGTAGGCTGAGGAAGATTGTGCCTGAAAAGCAACACTTATATACTGCTCTCCAGGCCAAACCATCACCAGGGATACAAACTTACAGAGACGCTTTGTTTCCAGCGTGACAGAAGCCTCGTGAAGCCCCAGGTAGCAGCGTGAGTCAGAGTCGCTCATGGAGTTGTGCTAAACAGGCGTTGAGAGCCAGTATAGCTATTCGCAACGCTGTCACCTCCAACAACTAGTTGCACAATCTTCATCAGCCTACTCAAGCTCAACTTGTTATAATAATAATAATAATAATAATAATAATAATAATAATAATAATAATAATAATAATAATAATAATAATAATAATAATACGAAGTAGTGGTTGCGACTTCGGCGATGATTTGTGTGGGGAGCAAACCTTTCTTAATAATAATAATAATAATTATAATCTTCACTAGTTTGAGGGAAAGAGACAAACGAATTATAATAATAATAATAATTATAATAAGTCCTGGTGGTGACAGTCAATTTTTTCTTCAGACTTTTCCCGTTTGTCTCTTTCCCTCAAACCAGTTAATATTTTATGACTTGGGGCTCCCTGCGTGCTAGTTTTTACGTGAAGTGTGTGGGTACGGTGAGGGCTGCGTCCCGCCCGCCTGTGTGGATTCACGGGAAGTGTGAGTTACGAAGTCTGAAGAAAACGTTGAACGGTCTCTGCTGGGATGACGACTACACCATAGCTCAGTGGTTAGAGCATCGCTGGCTACAAGCGAGGGTCCCTGGTTCGAGTCCTGGTGGTGACGGTCAATTTTTTCTTCAGACTTTTCCCGTTTGTCTCTTTCCCTCAAACCAGTTAATATTTTATGACTTGGGGCTCCCCGCGTGCTAGTTTGTACGTGAAGTGTGTGGGTACAGTGAGGGCTGCGTCCCACCCGCCTGTGTGGATTCACGGGAAGTGTGAGTTACGAAGTCTGAAGAAAACGTTGAACGGTCTCTGCTGGGATGACGACTACACCATAGCTCAGTGGTTAGAGCATCGCTGGCTACAAGCGAGGGTCCCTGGTTCGAGTCCTGGTGGTGACAGTCAATTTTTTCTTCAGACTTTTCCCGTTTGTCTCTTTCCCTCAAACCAGTTAATATTTTATGACTTGGGGCTCCCCGTGTGCTAGTTTGTACGTGAAGTGTGTGGGTACAGTGAGGGCTGCGTCCCACCCGCCTGTGTGGATTCACGGAAAGTGTGAGTTACGAAGTCTGAAGAAAACGTTGAACGGTCTCTGCTGGGATGACGACTACACCATAGCTCAGTGGTTAGAGCATCGCTGGCTACAAGCGAGGGTCCCTGGTTCGAGTCCTGGTGGTGACGGTCAATTTTTCCTTCAGACTTTTCCCGTTTGTCTCTTTCCCTCAAACCAGTTAATAATTATAATAATAATACCTGCTCTTGTAGCAGTTGAGCACTCTTGCGTGGGGTAGTGCCTTTGCTGTTTGCGTTATGCAGAGCTCACTGACTTGTCAGTTTGAGCACTCTGGCAAGGTACGTTCAGGCCTGATTGGAAATTTTTATTTCCATTGCTATCAGGTTCGGCCTCATTTCCTCTGTGCTGCGCTGACGAGTCCACAAAGGACGAAACAGTTCTGTCCGCAGATTGAGTATTTCGCTCCTGCTCTTGTAGCAGTTGAGCACTCTTGCGTGGGGTAGTGCCTTTGCTGTTTGCGTTATACAGAGCTCACTGACTTGTCAGTTTGAGCACTCTGGCAAGGTACGTTCAGGCCTGATTGGAAATTTTTATTTCCATTGCTATCAGGTTCGGCCTCATTTCCTCTGTGCTGCGCTGACGAGTCCACAAAGGACGAAACAGTTCTGTCCGCAGATTGAGTAATAATAATAATTATAATAATAATGCAACAAGCTTCTTTATTTACATGAAAACAAGTTTTGCTTATGGTGTTTGTACTGAGTGCGCAGCTTACTCTATTTATTGCGTTGAATAATAATAATTTAAACAATCGACGAGGAGACAATAGTTGTAAAATGGCAATAAATAAGATAAATTGTGCACTCATAACAACAGCAAAAATGAAGAAAGTCAAGTTCCATAACGTTTTCTTGTGACCGTCATCAGTGGAACGCCGTCACATCAAAATGTAATAACTAAAACACACACTTATATACATGTAGCTAATAATTATGGTTTCAGGTAGAAATACAGCAGCTAACAGGTACAAAAAGCGAAGTTTGCACCTTTGCAATGTGTGAATATAGTGTATGTGAGAAAGGTAGTGGCAGATGAATGTGATACTGTGTGAATGAATGTAATGGTGCGTGTGTATTACTTGAAGAGTGTGAGTGATACAACGTTTTCTTTCTGTTTACATAGCACAGAGTCACGAGTACGAATATACACAGCTTTCAACACCTGCAATTGCTTGAAGAAACGTGCGCAACGAATAACACTAAACCAGGAATCGTCAAACACCTTACGACATTCTGGACTGGACACCAAATGCTTGTACACTGCAGACTTCCGCTTGTCAACATCAAACTCCTCCTCATCACTACTCTCATCCTCCACCTCCATTCCAATGCCGCCGTCCATCCCATCGCACTCGTATTCGTCGTCATCAGTCTCCATCTCCTCGCGACACCGCTTCCCTCTCCTTGATTCGTTCTGTGCCGTGCCTGTGCTTCCTCCTGCGTCTCCTTGCCTTGTGTTCTCCACTTGTCTCAGTCGTGCTTCTGCTAGTCTCTTGCTTCTCCTCGGTTCTGCTCTGTTTTCAAGTTGTTCCCCTTCCGCTCTTACCGTTGTAGCAACATGGTTTGTCGAGGAGCGACCGTCCGGCGTCCTCCCTTGCCGTGGTCCAGTTTCCGAGGGGGGAACCAGATTAGTCTGCTCGTTCTCCATGGAAGTAGTCGGTGTTTCTGTTTCCGAATTGTGAGCCGTGCTAGGTGTAGAAATAGGCAGCGGATGTTTTCGTGGTCTCCCACGCTTCGGCCTGCTTAACCTGGCAGCCTGGGACAACAATGATAATGGGACGTGCTGCTTGATGCATTCGGACAAGTGGTGAAGCGTCCTGCCAACATACCGACTACCACATTGTCGGCATTCAAATTGATAAATGAGATGGCTCAAATGGTGGGTTGGCAGGACGTCCTTCAACACTGTGAACGAACGCACCGTTGTAAAGACAGTAACTACATTCACTGCATAGTATGTCTTTTGCACGATCAATTTCACTGCACGACTGACTTTTGTTGATTCAGAGCTTTTCCAAGGCAGGCATAAGAACACCCGACACGGTGTTGGCCCGATTTTGTGTTCCTTCCGCGGCTCTTTGCTCGTGAGCAGTTTTGCTAAGAGTGATGATGGATATCCATTTTTCAGGAAAACTGAGCGCAGGAAATCGAGTTCAGGTTGTAATTTACTGTCAGAGCAAATGCGTCTTGCCCTATCCACCAAGTTCCGGACTAAATTGATCTTGTACTGGGCCGAGCAATATGAGTCATACATTATGTATTGTCCTGTAAACGTAGGCTTACGATAAACCGATGTGACAACACCATCACACGTCCTTTCGACTAAGACATCCAAAAACGACAATTTTCTGGATTCTTCGTGTTCACATGTGAAACGCAGCGCAGGATGGACATCATTCAATTCAGTTAGAAAGGCTTCACTGTCACGTCTTGATTCGAAATAGGTAAATGAGTCGTCCACAAATCGAACGTACAACTGAGGCCACTTTACTTTATCCATTCTCGACTCGCAATATCCAACGAAGACGTTGGCTAGTGCCGGACCCAGCGGCGACCCCATTGCCACCCCGTCCGTTTGCTTGTACATCACGTCACCGAACGAAAACTCGACACCACTCGTAACCATCAACATCAAACGTCGAAACGCTGACTCAGGTAACCAAGGGACATTGACGTCATCATCATTATGGTAGAGTGTCTGCGCACAGATATCGATCGTCTCGTCTAGTGGAACATTTGTAAACAGGCTTACAACGTCGAAAGAACACATATGGGCTGTGGGTGGAATCGGATTTTCACGAAGGATTTCCACAAACTGGAAAGTGTCCTTGACATTATGCTTACAATAGTAGTCTACTACCGGCTGTATCATGCCGCACAGCCACTTTGATATGGCGTACTGGGGCGAGCCTATCATGGAGAGTATGGGTCGGAGAGGGCAGGATGGTTTGTGTATCTTCGGCAAGCCGTACATCCTAGGGCGCACCGAACCGATTGGCTTCATTCGAAAAAAAAACTCCGCTTTCTCAGTTTTCCTGAAAAATGGATATCCATCATCACTCTTAGCAAAACTGCTCACGAGCAAAGAGCCGCGGAAGGAACACAAAATCGGGCCAACACCGTGTCAGGTGTTCTTATGCCTGCCTTGGAAAGGCTCTGAATCAACAAAAGTCAGTCGTGCAGTGAAATCGATCGTGCAAAAGACATACTATGCAGTGAATGTAGTTACTGTCTTTACAACGGTGCGTTCGTTCACAGTGTTGAAGGACGTCCTGCCAACCCACCATTTGAGCCATCTCATTTATCAATTTGAATGCCGACAATGTGGTAGTCGGTATGTTGGCAGGACGCTTCACCACTTGTCCGAACGCATCAAGCAGCACGTCCCATTATCATTGTTGTCCCAGGCTGCCAGGTTAAGCAGGCCGAAGCGTGGGA